TGGACATTAAGCTGAATACGAGCCAACAGCGTGCCCTTGTTGCAAAGCAGGCTAACGGCATACTGGGTTGCATTGGGAGGAGTGTTGCCAGTAGGTCAAGGGAAGTGATTATTCCCCTCTATTCAGCACTGGTGAGGCCACATCTGGAGTACTGTGTCCAGTTTTGGGCCCCGCACTACAGAAAGGATGTGGACAAATTGGAGAGTCTAGTGGAGAGCAACAGAAATGGTTCGGGGGCTGGGGGACACGACTTATGAGGACAGACTGAGGGAACTGGGCTTATTTAGTTTAGAGCAGTGGTTCTCAAACGTTTTTTTCCCCAATGGACCACTTGAAAAATCCCTGAGGGCCTTGGCAGACGACTTAGTAAACTTTTTTTTTGTTTTACAAAGCAAAGTACACAACTCATATTTTAATATTAGTCTTACCTTATAAGTACAGATATTCTCAATTGTTCTGCAACCTTTCTGCAGACCACCTGAATGGAGCTCATGGTCCAGTGGTGTCCATGGACCAGTTTGAGAACTTCTGGTCTAGAGAAGAGGCGACTGAGGGGTGATTCAATAGCAGCCTTCAACTACCTGAAGTGGGGTTTGAAAGAGGATGGAGTTGGATTGTTTTCAGCGGTGGCAGATGACAGAACAAGGAGCAAGTTGCAGCAAGAGAAGTTTAGGTTAGGTATTAGGAAAAAAATTCTTACTAGAAGGGTAGTAAAACACTGCAACAGATTACCCAGATAGGTGCTGGAATCTCCATCCTTGGAGGTTTTTTAAGACTTGGCTAGACAAAACTTTGGCTGGGATGATCTAATTGGGGACGGTCTTGCTTTGAGCAGGGGGTTGGAATAGATGACCTCCTGAGGTCCCTTCCAATTCTAATTTTCTATGATTCTATGAATTTTGAGAAAGAGAAAGGATCAGTGTTATTCAATATAGGCACAATACTTTAATATTTTTTAATTATTTTCCGTTCAAACACTGAACTCTGTAAACATATTTGTTAATCGCATACAAGTGCCAACTGAATTTGGTGTTTAACTTTCTTAAACCATTGCCAAAAATAACAAATGAAGCTACTTTCAGATCTAGTTGAATACATCCATATCACCCGTTTGGTGTGAGGGCAGCAGAACAGGCCCTATGAGGAGAGACTGAGTGACCTGAGCCTGTTCAGCCTTGGCAAGAGGAGGCTGAGGGGGGACCTGGTGGCTGCCTACAAACTCATCAGGGGAGATCATCAGCAAATAGGAAGAGCTCTATTCTCCCCAGCACCACCTCAGGTGATGAAGAACAATGGTAATAGGCTGATGGAAAATAGGTTTAGGTTAGAGATCAGGAGGCAATATTTTACAGTTAGGGTAGCCAGAATCTGGAACCAACTTCTTAGGGAAGTGGTCCTTGCCCCCACCTTGGGTAAATTAAAAAACAAGTTAGATGATCACCTGTCTGGGGTCTTGTGAACCCAGCGTTCATTCCTGTCTGTGGCAGGGGGTCAGGCTAGATGATCTGTTCAGGTCCCTCCTGACCCTAGCTACTATGAAGCTACTATAAAACCAGTCACCTGGTCTACTTGAAGGAAGATACCAAATGGTTGGGTTCCAAATAGAGGAGCAATTCCAGTTTGGGGTAAAGAACCACTTCCTTCAGATGCAGAAATTAAAGAAATGCAATGCATCCAGCTGTATTTCTGGACTTGTGCTTGTAAAAACTCTACTGCATGAACCAATATCTGAAGGAGAGGAAAAAACAGCCAAACAAGCTCTGGCTCATTTTTTTTATACTTACTAGCTTCCCTTTTCTGATGACAGACTTTTCATAGTGAGCAGTAGTTGGTGGGTTTCTATCACAACAGTGTAAATCCAGAGTAACTTGTGTCTTAAAAGGGGGCAATTCCGAATTTACATTTGGCATTACTAGAGACCCAAGTTTGATCCTACCTAAGTGATCTTTTCAGTTTGATTCCTATTTCTGCAGACAGGAGCATCATAAATTCTGATCAGAAACAATGAAAATGCTCTGGATGCAAAATTTTACTTCCAAACTTCTCCTAGTCCATTTTAATAAAGGTACTTTGAAAGTGGAGGAATTTCCCCATTCATTTTAATGGATTATTTACATAAGCTCTCAGCATGTCTACCTACTCATTAATCTGTGTAATATTGGCAGTTGTTGGTACATCCTACCATGGGTGTTTTAGTAGGAATTTTTGGTTGCATCTTATAAAAGAAGGAATTGTTCCATTATCATCTAGTTGGTTTCTCAGTTGAAGGGAAAGCCAAATAGCATCAGGAGAGGCTGAGCTCTCTACCATCTTCAGCAAGGTACTTTGTTGAGCATAGCAGAATTTCAAGAGGCTTTTTCCTTCTGCTGTCAATTGCAATTAATGTGGTTAAGCAGAAATTTGTATCTGGCAGCTTTGGACTTTGCTGGGGCGTTGCCACACCTTAAGCCTACGTGTCTGTGTTGCATCACTACAGTTGATGTAGGCAGAGTTAGGTGTGCTGTGGAAGGAGAGGCTGCAAGAGTGATTTTAGTGTAAACACTTGGGTGTGCCTACCTCTGTAGAGTCATACTGCATTTTGTACAAATCAGGAGGAATGAGCCTTGGGCTTGGCTGAGGTAATAACTCCCCACATTCCTTGCCTGTGAGGGGGTTCTGCAATTTTCCCACAATAATCAAAACTTGACACTTCCTGCCTTGCAAAACCTGTTCCTTAAAGCTAAGCAGCCTGTCAGCACAGTGCCTGCAAGACAGCCTCTGCTTGAGCCTGCAGGTTGGTCATTTTGAAAAGCAAGTTGCTCTTCCCATGGGAGATAGCCGACACCTACATTTTCCTGCCAAATGCACACAATCTCTTGCCATGCGGGGAGAAATTAAGTTGATCACTGACACCAGTGATCTGTTGAAGTCGATTGCACTGGGTAGCATGCATGAGGGAATTTGGGCTGTTAGACCAAGGCATGCAAGAGAGTGCAAATCACTAAAATCAAGAGTCCCTAGCAGAAAAGTCTGCTCGTTATAGCTATATACCTTTTAAAACAAGGGGTTGTTTGTTATAAAGCTTTTGACTTGCAACATTACCACATAGGGAGCTGAGGTAGTTTCACAGGTAACCCAATCCTAAATTGTACAGGAATTTCTAGGTCAAAGCCAACTACTTAAATCTCCTCCTAGACACTCAATCAGGAATGAATACAGAGGAGCATAATAACAACACCTGTAATATCTGCATTCTGTGTTAAAGTTATGAATGAGTCATAGGATGTGGAAAGAGGCTGCAGACAGAACAAGATCACCCCATGGCTCTGGGAGATTAGGGCTACCAACAGGAGGGTATACTACATAGATTGTCAGTAAGCATTGTGCAAGTAAGTATCCCTTAATCCCCGCCACGGTATGGCATTCCATTAATATGTTACCCCTATGCTTGAGTTAAATTCTCCTTCAATTCCCAGAATGCCATTCCCTAACACACTAGTATTTGTTGGACTATAAATAAAAACAAACAAACAAACAAACAAACAAACAAACTTTGTATGTTTTGGTACTTTTATTATAGTCTTGGCTAATGATAGAATACAGAAAATTGAATACAGTAGTAAAATTTGTTTTAATGATTAGCCCTTTTAGTAAACATATTTAAAGCATTGAAAATATAGTAGTATTTTGACTCTTAAAATAACTAAGATATATGCCTATTAAAGAAAAAAAACCAATGAACTGTGGCCATTTCAGCGGGCCAGGAAATGCTTTAGTTCAGCATGTAACATCTATTTTTTGCTACAAAGTATCTCTTCCTCTAATGTGGCTTTGCTTCATATTGAAAAGGAGTTTGAAAATGATATAAAAGACTAAAAATAAAACTTTCAAGTCACTGGATAAAAACAATGACAACTGCAATCAAGAGCCTAAAAAAGAAAAACAGAAACACAGAGGTCTTATCCCGGCAACCGCAGAGTGTAGGTGAAAGTAATTATTGGTCATATAAAAGTTTAATCAGTTAAATAGCAAGTTGTATGAACTTACACTTTCCTTCACTGCAAAAGTAAGAACATTTCCCGTTCTAGAAATAGTAATTTTAAAACTATTTGCTTAAAAACCAACCATAAAACTCTACTGAAGTTAACTGTTTTTAAACCATACATATACTACCCTAAAATTTCAGGACTTTGCATAAGACAATGCCACAGGTAGAGATCAAACTGCAATTCTGGACTCACAAAACTGTTTTTTTTTTTGTTCCAAACAGAACTCAGCATAAGAAGGAAATACAGGGAAAACAATGTAATTTAAACTAATGTACACATAGGTTTATGTATGTACTCATCCCTTGCATACATATTAGCTTTCACAGTTTTCTTTTTAACACTGGTTAGGAGTATTATTACAGTTTATATCACAGTACTGACTTCTAACAAAAACATACTGAAATGTTATGGAAGAGTTTTCCTTGGCAAGATGGACTACACCTCAGAACATGTAACAGATGTAATTTGAGCAACTTTAAAGTGCAGAGGTATATGGCTGCAGTATACTAGTGGTCATTTTAAAAGTAGTCATGTACTTTAAAATATTCACTCATGCTTTCAGTAACATTGAAAACTGATATTTATGGTATATTTATAACAACTTATTCTGTAAAACAGTTTGCTAAATATTTTTCCCTGGTAATATTTTATTTCTTTGTATAGAAAAAGGCAAAATATAAAAATTAAAATTTCTTTTCCTATTAGTTTGGTATTGACCTTTCTGGGAAGAAAGAACTTACCACCTGTGTGCATCTAACAAAGCTTTTGCTTCCCTCATGGTGTGCTAAGACCAAGACAGATCAGTAGCAGTGTGCACAGCTCTAAGAATGACAGTTGGTTAGGAGGCAGTACAGGTTATGATGGCAAGTTTTATTTTGCATTTAGACAAGATACTCAGAATATAAACATATGTAAATACTAATACCAGAATAGATCAACATCTGAGCTGCTCAGCA